AAAATCTAAAAACTAAAGCACGGAGATACGGAAGAGGCAAATCAATCCGTGACATTTTCCATTTCTTTTCGTGATTAAATTATCAAATGGTCCCTCTATTTAAAAAATAAATTCATTTTGAATCATCCATTTTTAGTGTTAATTTAATCCTAATACTTTAACCATTATATCCGAAAAAATCCAGTAGTTCTTAACACCACCAAATCAACAATGAATTAAAGTGCATTCGTATCAATTGTGTTATTATACAGTTGGGTACCAAAAAAATACCGTAAATCATTTCGAAATTGTTAGTATTATTTTTATATAAATTAAATAGTTCAACTAGTCAATTTTAGTAAAGTAAACTTTTTTATCTAATAGTAAAATAAATATATAATAATTAATTAATAAAACTTTATATTATCTCTAATTAATTCCTAAAATTTTGGCTAATTTTTTTCCCTCAATAACAACCATTTCGAAAGCCAAAAAAAAGCTTGTAATTTATTCAAGTTCCTTTATTCCTAAATAATTCAAAATAACCTTTTTAATTTTATAAATTATTTAAATAATTATTTATTTATTTATTCAATAACATATAAAAAATTATATAAAACAATTATAAAAACAATGATTCCTGCACCACTGCTTTATTAACAAAACAAGTATGATGCCGCAATTTCATCCTTTAATTAGGCTTTGTCTTTAACCGCAATTAAAAGAAAAAAAATTAGGCTTCTGTCTTTAACTGCATTTCTTCAACAGTGTCGTCCCCCTCGATTGCGAGAAAGTCTGCTGTATGTATCCCAACCCAATGGGAAAACACCACATCAACAATTTTTTCAGACTTCATCAATCCCAAACCCAAAAAACAACTGATGACATCAGAATAATGACATCCCCTAGCAGAGATTCAATTCTTCCAGGCCAAATTTCTGCGAAAGATATCCCATACACGACCCCAGAGATGAACCCCATCGCAACAACAAACCAGAACCACCCCTCCAATTCCCCCTCCAATTCCTCCTCCTCAGAAGGATCCTCCGAAGCTACACAAGCCTGCAACTGGTGTCCGCACAGCCCGGAATTGTTCTCGAATCTAGATGCCGGAAGTGACCAGAACTCCTTCGTCTGTGGTATTGGGCCGCTGAGACTGTTGTTTGAGAGATCGATGTCATTAAGCCGAGGCAGCGACGCCAACGACAGCGGAATTTGGCCGTCGAGATGGTTGTGAGACAGGTAGACAACTCCCAGCCCTGTAAGATTTCTGAACATGTCGGGGATAGTTCCGGTTAGGTTGTTGTATCCGAGATTGAGATAGGACAAGGAGTGCATGTAAACCAGGCTATGGGGGATCGATCCGGACAAGAAATTGGAAGATAGATCCAAGTATACGAGGCTGCCCTGGGGCTTTGGTGTCTGAACAACAGAGACGCTGATGAAATTCACCCACAAACAAGTGTCCGGATCCAGGAATCTCACCAGGTTTTCCGGTCGAATTCCCTTAAAATATAGTAATTTTACAGCTATTCTGCCATATTTTCCGCACTTATTTTCTTCAGCTGCTTTCTTCTCTCCAGTGTACCTAACTCTGAGAATTTGGTATCTGGGATTTGCAAGTTCTGTTGGGATTTTACCGGTAAATTGATTGCTTCTTAAATTGAGCCATATAAGGCTACTGCAATTGCCAAGCT